TCAATATATTTTTGATTTGCAGGGTTTGTCCTATAATATTGCTGTCTAATTGGCTTAACATTTTCTTCTATTTCTATTCCATGTCTAATAATATTAGTTCTTCCTAGTTGATGTATTTCTTCTGCAAATATTTCTTCATATTGTTTTATTAATTTGTTAAAATCCTTTCTTTGTTCTGATTTTAATTCTCCTACTTTAAATTCTTCAGGTTTTACAATATATCTATCTGATGATGATTTTCTTATTTCTAGTTCCTCTTCCAAATCATTTTCTTCATCATCTATTTCATCTGAATGTGGTCAATCCTGTTTTGATTTATAATTTTCCTGAAAAAGAACTTGTTCTTCTTCATCTTCACTTTCATAATTATCTTCTGCTTGTTGATATGTTGCTGTAGTCTTGATACTTTGATTTCTCCAGTTAAGAGTTAATTCTTGATTTTTCCAATTATAACTAGCTCCTGCTTTCATCATCCAATCATTTCCTAATAATATACAGTATGCTTCAGTTTTCATTACTTCCACATTAATTGGTATTGTTTTTCCCTCAATCTCAATAGGGAAATCTCTAATTCTTTTCAAAGATTCATTCTTTTTTCCATTCGCTGATATAAATTTACAATTGGTTGCTTCTTCTATATCATACTGTAATTGTTCTATGGTACTTTCTGAAATTATGCTAGTGGCTGCTCCACTATCAATAGTAGCTGGTACTCTAAATCCATTCACTATTACTTCACATTTCAGGGTGGTTATTTTTATATTATTATTTTGACTTACCAATTTTGCAACAGTTTTTTTTGAAGTTCTTAATGCTTCTTTTAATTTCTTTCTTTCTTGAGAACTAATTTTAATAATTGTGATAATGTAATTTCTAATTTTTGTTCTTGCAGTTTCTTTATTAAATTGAATTCAGATCTTTTTAATAATTCTGGTTATTTTCTTTCTTTATATATCTTTTCAGAAAATTTTGTTATTTTTCTTTCATTTTTATTTGGTGTCCATTCCATTGGTTTTGGTCCAAGGTTTTTGTTCTTTCTCCTCTTCAGATCAGTTCTATAGTCATAAATTAATTCTGGTTCTTTTTTTTTAAAATTTCCAAAGCTATCAAACAGTGTCATGATTTCTTCTGTTTCTTTATCAGTGTTATACTCATCAACTTCTTCAATACTTATAAAATTAGTAGGGATGTTATTTTGATTATTATTATTTTGATTTTGATTCCTGTTGTTGTATTAATTTCTGTTATTGTATTGATTATTGTTCCTTCTTCTATTTTCATTTTGATTTGTTCTATTTTCTTATTGATTATTATTATTCGTACTATTGTTTTGATAATTATTTCTGTTAAAATTATTATTATTACCATTATTGTATTATAATTATCATTGTTATTTCTCCTTAAGCTTCTATAGTCTTTTTTAAAGTGACCTCTCTTTCCACAATTGTAACATTCAATATCATTATTTTGAGGTCTTTCAATCTTTGCTATTTTAATTTTCAATTTTTCAAATTGTTTTACTAATTGTTCCATCGGGTCTTCTTTTGATTCTTCTTTCTTTTTAGTGGTTTTCTTTACAGATGTTTCTTCATCACTGGAAGATTCTTCTTCATAAATTACTTTCTTTTTCTTTTTGTTAACTCTTCTTTTATATTTTACTTCATCCCCTGGTTCTATTTCTTCTTCTAAATCTTCAGCTGCTTCATATCTTTGAATTAAATCAACTATTCCTTTTACACTTTCAAGTTTATGCAAGCTTATTATTGGAAGTAATCCTTTTCTTAATCCTCTAGTAAAGTAAAGTATCTTTTGTTCTTCTCCTATTTTTTCTAACTTTTTTATAATCTTTTTGAATCTTGCATAATATCTTTCAACTGCTTCTCCAGGTTTTTGTTTTAATTTTTCTAGTTGGTTTCTCCATTTATTTTTCTATTTCTGATTGCAAAATGTCTCTTTAAAAGATGTTTTCAATGTTTCCAGGATGGGGTATTGGTTGTTATCTCCTCTTATATATGTTTCCTGATACCATTCTTCAGCTCCTTCTTTCAAGAATCCATACAGCTTTTCTTTTTTTCTATCATCATTCTATTGATTAATAATTATTACTTTATCAAATTCTTTTAACCATTCTTTAGGATCTTGAGTTCCATCTCCAGTAAATCTTTGAAGTTTAAATAATAAAAGATCCATTTTTACAGTGTTATCTTCTGGTTTTTCTTCTTCTTCCTCACTCACACTGTTATAATATATATTATAATCTTCTAGTTCTTCTTGTTCTCTATTTTCTTCTCCTTTATTTGAATTGTTATCTTCAGGATCAAATATGTTATATTCTTCTTGATTATTTTCTTCTCTTAGATCCTTCAGATTTTGTAATTCTATTTTGCCTTCTTCTTTTGTTATTATTTTTAACTGTTGTCTAAAACTATTACTTCTTGATCTTGTTACTTTCCTCAATTCTTCAATTATTTCTTCTTGAATATTAATTATTTCTCTTTTTAATTCTTCAAATTCTTTTTCACTTATTTCTGAACCTTGATATGATTCTGCAGGTGAGTTTTCTCTAGTTGTTTTGTAACTTGGATTAACAGAAAAAGATATTGGTAAAGTGGTTTGAGAACTTTCTCTTCTCTGTATATTCCAATTAATATTTTCTAATTCTTGATTTGATATTTATATGTGGTATTTCTTTTCTGTATAGTTGGTATTTCTTTCTGTATGTCAGTTTTTATTATTTTTCTTTTTCTTTTCAACTTTTCTAAAAAATACTCTGTTGTTTTGCTATTCCTTTTATAAGTTTTTCTCTGCTGATCTTTTTGCAATTATTTGAAAATTTCTTATTTGTCACATCCTCATGAAGGTAACTAATCTTCTGGTATAAATTAATTTTAGAATATTCTTAGGTTGAATATACTACGTCACATACTATTGGATATTAACAGTGACAGTTCACCTTTCCAATAGTCATGTACTAAAACTTTCAGAATATTGACAGCATCCTTTCCTTAATTGTTTTCAGGTACAAGGTGATCAAATTTGATTTACCCATACTAGCAACTACTTCGCTAAAGATTTTGCACTTGACTCCTAATCAGAGGTATAAGTATTTGAAGTCCAGTCAGAGGTTTTGCACTTAGCAGCTTTCAATAATTCCTTCATTTATTTAATATTTCTTGACAGTGGTGACGGAACGAATCTTGAAGACTTGTCAGTTTTATCCAATTCAACATTTTTTATTGATCCTTTTTCATTTCAATTTGATAGAGTTTCCCTTGTATTTTCAATATTTCATTTTAGAATTTCTTATTTCAACAGTATTATATTTTTCACAATTCCATTTATTCTTTACAATATTTTTTTTTTTAACTTATTTTTCACATCTGTTTTCCTTACAATAATTTAAGATTCCTTTCTACTAGAAGACACCAAATTGTCACCGGTGGCTCTCAGTTTTCTCAAGAACCACCTGATAATTTGATTTGACGGTTCTTTTTAAGGAGTTTATAGTCCTTTCTCAAAGATAAGACTGTTGTTTTATTATTTTAGAAGGTACTACTGATTCATTTATTTTAGAAAGGGAATCAGACCTTTCATTTAATTTATTTCAATATTTTTTCAAGTTCGTCATCATCTTTAATATTAATATTTATTCATTAATTATCTTTTAACTTTATTAACTTTAAATATTATTTCCAATTATCCAGATTTATTATTATTCCAAGTTCAGGATTTATAATAATGGATTATAATTAATTTCATTAATTCAGGAATAATAACATTATACAATTATACAATTAAGTAATTAATCTCATAATATCCATTATTCCTTTGTTAACTATATATTGTATCATTTAATAATTATTTCTATAATTTATATTTATATTTTCAATATTTATTTTATTAATTCCATTGCAGGGTAATTTTACAAGTGTTTATCTTGAAGTTACAAATTATAAAATTAAAATTTATCAATTTCAAATAAGTTACAAATTATCAAAGTTCAAAAATTATAAAATTGTAAAACTAAAGAAGGGTAGAGTGATTTCAGTTCCTTTTTATATCTAAATCTAATAATCTTCATTACTGTACCATTGCTGTGCCTACTGTGTACTATTATTATTGATTATAATTATTCACTAAATATATTTGTTACTAATTAATACTATATGTTAATAATTATTGTTAAATAATGTTAAGTAATAATAATTAATGTTATGAACTGATAGTTATGTTTGTGTAACTAAATATCACGTGAAACGTGATCTTGTACTACTATTTCATGACTAATTAATGTATATTGCAGACTATAAATATTTACTAAAAGAAATTATTAAATTGTCACTATTTGTTACATGAACTAATATTAATTAAATTCTAAATATTATTTTAAGGGTTATTATAAATTATTGCAGGTGTTTTTAATATTATTTTATCATTATACTTTTATTCTGTAACACTGCTAAAGATTTAACTAAAATTAAACTATTGAACAAAAGTCAAAAGTCAATATTCAACACCATTATGAACTATATCGAAAATAATAAACTAGCCATAATTTTTGTTGATGGTCCTGTAGATAAATTAAAAACTGATAATATTAATATCTTAAATATTAATATTTAATCATTATGATATATTTAATTTTAAAAATAATAAAATATTATATATAAGTTTAGGAAAAACTTTTTGATTCTTGCTTGCTTGCCAAAATTCGTTCAACCTCTTCAGTAATATTAGTAATGGCTTCATCTGGTATTGTAGCATTCCTCATGCCTAGAAGTCAAACTGCATACTCTAGGTTCAAAATTTCATTAAATATTAATTCAAACTCAATTTATCCTATTAATAAGCAAAGTCATTTAGCCAAATTATTAAAATTAACTAAATTAATTATTTGGGATAAAATTTCTATGACGAATCATTATTTTGTAGAAGCCTTGGATCAAACTCTAAGAGACTTGATGAAATGTAACTCCCGTTTGACAGAAAAATCTTTGTATTTAGTAGAGATTTCTGTCAGATCTTACTAGTGATCTCGTAAGGAAATTGTGTACAAATTGTAAATGCCAAATTAAAATTTTTCCCTTTATGATCTGTGATAGAAGTTTATCATCTACCCAATTTCAAAAACCTTTTACTAAGAATCGAAAATGAAACTGAACCAACCATAGATGATAATATGATTCGAATTCCAGACTGCATGATAATTAATTGGCATATCGAAAAATTTTTACAAACATTGATTAAAGAGATATACCTGTTCCTTTCTTCCCATTCATTAGATGTGTGTCTTATTTTACCAATAGAGCTATACTTACCATCAAAAATAAGTATGTTAATAATATTAATAATACAATACTAAATCAATTACTAAGTGATGATATAATATACAAAAGCTTTGATTCCTGACAATAAAAATAATCTTTATTAACAGGAATTTCTCAACTCTGTAACTATGGCTAATATACCTCCTTAAGAATTATGTCTCAAGACTAATGCACCTATTATATACTTTCGTAACTTAGATCTACTTAATGGTCTGTGTAATGGTACTAGATTAATATATTGAATGTTTAATAATAATATCATTGAAGTAAAAATACCTACAGAAAATCACAAAGGTAAATGAATGTTTCTTCCTTGAATATCTTTTGTCTCCTCAAACAATATTAAACTTCCATTTATCTTAATAAGAAAACAATTTTCAATCAAACTTGCCTTTGCTTTAATAATTAACAAGTCACAAAGTTAAACCATTTCACATATAGGACTTTATTTACCCGAACATGTATTTAAACATGATCAACTTTATGTAGCTTTCTTACAAGCTCAATCTTACTATAATGTCAAAATATTAGTAAAAAATGATATCATTCATGGTAGATAAGGTATTTATACACGAAATGTAGTGTATAAAAAAATTTTAAATAATTAAAATTGGTATTTTATTTTAACTACTTTATTTAATAAACTTTTTATATTTCAACAAAAGTTTCCTATTTTTATTTATATTTAAATGATGACAAAAATAATAAAAAAAATATTTAAATGTTGACAAAAATAAAATAAATTTTATTTTTTTTTTCAATATTGTTTGCATTTGTATTTGTATTGTGTGACCTCAAGCCTTTACGTAAAGATCATGCCACAGGTTCTTTGCCTTTTTTACATGAAACTTTTCTTTTTTTTTACAGATCCACCAATCTCATCTTTACAATTGAAATTAACCAAATCATTACTTTTTATATTTTGAAATTCATACTCAGTATTAACTAAATTTTCAAAAGACTTATCAAAAATATCATCTCACACATGTTCCAATAGGTAAAAACAATCCAATTCAGGTTTATTCACAACACCACTTGAGCTAATTGAAAGTAAATTATCACGTCCTAATTTATTTTCCAAATTTTCAGCAATATTTTGATGAGTGATCATAAGTTTAGACCGAACATTATTTTGAGATGCTAAAGAACTTTGAGACAAATTATCTTCATAACTTTTTTTTTTAATAAAATGAGTATTGATATAATTAATATCTTTAGCATACATGTAAAACTTATTGTCAATAATCTCCATTTGCCCAACCACAAAAGCTAATGATTCTTGGAAATGAATGGTATCTTTTAAGTGTGAAAAACATGAGTTGTGACATGGAAAAACAACTCTTACAATAAAATGGCACTCCTGTCTAACATAATCAGACACCGATATTTTAACAATAATATCATCTTTAACTTCGTTTGGCATCTCCTGAGGAACTTCAACCAAAGAAACCTTCAAAGGATATTTATTTGATTCAGGAACTTTGTTAAGAATTATAACATGCATAGATGTTGAAACTGTTATCTAAAATTTAAATTAAAAATTATTATTAGAAACAAATAAACAAATATTAGTTAAACATGTAACAAATACTTTCACTCTTTTACTTCCACAATAGTCTCCCAGTACAATTTTACCACCAACAGAAAAAAAATTATCCTTTACAAAAATAACTTGAACTTCAGGATCTCTATCTTTCAAACTAGCAAGTACAAATAGAACTAATTCTATATCACAATCCTCACATCCAACAGGATATGTACCAAGTGCCCAAACCACTAACAAATCCGATTCCTCCTTCTCCTTCACATGTTGCTAAATGTATTTAATTTTTACAATAGTATCAGCAAAACAAGGCATTATTTCTTTGTTATTTTTTTACAATTTTAAAATTCAACGTATATGCGACAATCCCACATGTAATCCTTATCCTTTTAATATACTAACAAAACCACAAATCAAAACCTTCAAAAATATTACAAATCAAAAAAAAACATTAATATTATTGTTAAGAAACCCCTATAAACTTCAGCTCCACGAAACGTATTAAAAAATTCCTACTGATAAAAATTTTTGATCGTGATTACCCCTTCAATTATTTTTATCCTTCCTGCCAAACTAAAAAGAGAAGTAGATTATCCATAATTCGTTCCATTACACCAATTTTTACCAGTCGCAAATCCTTTGATGCAGAAAGATCTTACTATGCTAAAGACTATTTTCGGGTTACTTCGTCCAGTCGTAAGATCATTCGTAACTTTACTTGATAAGGAAGCTAAAAATGTTCCTTTCTAATACAGTTTGAAAATCGGCTTATGTAACTATCACGCCATCACGAGTCAAAATCACACTAGTTTATCTATGAAAACTGCATCTCCAATTCCGGCCCAATTCCTGTTATGGCAGATCAAAATATAAAAAAACTCGAAAAAGCTATCTTGGCTCTCAACAATGAAATTAATAGAATGCGGAATGGAGATCTGAAGCCAGAAGTAGAGGTTGGTAAAACGCTTGTAAATTCTGATGTGCATAACCTGGATTTACATTTCTAATATTCTACATTTCCATAATTAGGACAAGCATCTATACAAAGCTACAGGTCCAAATATTCCACTGAAACTGAAACTCTTGGGTCGAATTTATAACAATATTTAATGAAAGGAGAAAAAGAGAGAAACACTCCCCCACAAATTTATTAAGTAGCAGTAATATAATCTTGGAAAATAATGATAACTTAGCTAGTAATGTGGAGTAGGGGAAGGAATTGCCATTTCTTTACAATGTAAAGGGGCCTAGGATCCCGGCTTATTCCTCCCTCTTTACCCTCTACTCCATACTTATATTCTCCGGATTAGCCTTTTGCATTTGTAAATAGCGGAAAAAATATTATCTACTACATCAATAAAGTTATTAATTGTTATATTTTATTTTATTTCGTGTAATAATTGATTGTATATATTATTTTTTATTTAAAATGCGTAACTTTAAAATACATAACCGCACTGTATTATATTAACATTTATTATCTGTACATATATCTCTTAACTACATACATATACATTATATTATAATTGTAAAAAGCTTTGTTTTGATCTCCTCGAAGGAGACATGCTTTACGTCAGGGAATTCACGAACTTTTCCCGAGTGATTGGGAGTGCCGGGACTACCTCGAATATAGACTATACAGAATCCAGGC